AGAAAAATCATTATTTTAACATATATGTTTTGGAAATAAAATGATTGAAATTACTATCAACATGAGCTTGGGCTTGTTGTTAAGTGCCATCGAGTTGATTCTGACCCATAGCGACCCTGTATAGGGTTTCCAAGGAGCAGCTGGTGAGCTTGAACCACTGACCTTGCAGTTCAAACGACTTTGCAGTCTGATGCATTAGCCCACAGTGCCACACCGCTTGGGCTTAGAGGGAAGAAAACTGAATACGTAGATAAAATGCTAAAGTTGAATTCTACCACTGCCTCATTACCTATGGAGTCTTGGATAAGAATCTTAGTCTTCTCAAAGTAGTCTCCTTTATAAAGCAAAAGTGAATAAAGTTTAATGTTTTTACTTCACAGGAGTTTAGAAAGGACCTAATGAATATGAACCATCAAAGTTTTATCATGATTTTAAATAGCCACAAGAAAAAAAAAAAAAATTCAAACTAAGTGCAAGTATCTTTTTTAATTAAATACATGATATTACAGCTAAGGTAATTAATATAAATGTTATATCAATTTTTCTTTCAGCTTTTCCTAAAGCAGGTTAATGAGACAATCAGAAGACCACAGCACAAAATGAGTGCTATCAAACTTATAAAAAATTGAAATTTATACAGAATCAAACACATACTTATCAAACTTGTAATGCACAAAGGAAAACATTAATTTGTAAAATAAATTATGAGTTTTTAACCAGCAAGTTGAAAATGGCAATTAAAATTTAATATTCAAATATATAAAATGTGCATATATGCACACTCTAAGTTATTTCAGATATTGAAAAGCAATCATTGCACTAAAAATAGTCTCTGGGTCATTTCTTTTAAAAACAAAAAGAGCAGTCACGTGTATTTGTTGTTGTGAAGCGCTCTCAAGTCTGTTCTGACTCAATCACCCTGTATAGGGTTTCTGAGGCTGGTAATCTTTGTAGGAGCAGAAAGCCTCATAGCCTTATCATGGTCATCCCAAGGACCTGCTGGTGGGCTCGAACCAAATACTAACTTGTGGTTCACAGTCTAGTGCTTTTTCTGCAGAGCCACCTTGCTCCCCGTCACATATGCAATGATAAGCAATTTCTTTAGTACACATTTAAGAAGTCAAATAATAAAATTTACTTATCTCAAAGATCTATAAACATTAAAAAATATATTTAGTTGATAAATTTGAGATCTTGAAGGTTTTAAGAATATTCAAATTGTGATAAAAATTGTATTTCCTTCAATATCAGGTACTTTATTTCATCTTATTTTTCAAATGGATAGTTGATGTATAATTCATTGAAAATTTGCAGCCTTCAAAATTAGTCAACTGAAATATCAAATTCTTAATCAGTCTAGATAAGTAGTAGCTTATAGTATACTACCCAGTCATCATTGTTATGATTATATACTTCTTTATGCCAAAAGATGCAATTGTGTAATAGGTAAGAAAGAATAAAGGTCTTGACTGAAGTCAAGAACATCTGAGTTTGAATCAGCTCACATCCTTACTACTGAAAGTGTAGTCTTTGTACTAGGTTTCCAGTGGGAAGTTATTAGAGATGCAGCAGGTCACACCAAATCTATTGAATAAGGATTTGCATTTGACAAGCATTGTGGCTAATTGCCATACACAAGTAAATTTGAAAAATACCAGACTACACTTCTCATTAAATATGTAACTTTGGGCAAGTTACTGGAACCCTTGAAAAACAGGTTTCTTCTTTTAAAAATGTAACTAATAATGGTATCCAGAACATAGTATTATTGTGAGAATTAAATTACATAATGCTATGTAGTAAGCCCACAATAAAGTCTGATACTAAATTTTACTATCTACCACAGATTTACATATTCATGATTTTTTCCCCAGTATATTTACTTAAGGTATTACATTGGCACCCCACCTAGAAAAATTTATGTTTGTTTTATTCAGGTGTCTCCCAAAGTATAAGCTTACAACAAAAATAGAAATAAATTAGTAATGCCATCTTACATTCATTTAGAGTACAAAGTAACACCTGTTTTTCAATTAGTCTCAAAATATTTCTCTTGTTTTCTATTTTGGTGAAATAAAAGAAGCAAAATAAAGAATTTCATTTTAAAGCAAGCATGAATCTTTCTCTTTGACATACAGTCTAAGTAATTCTACCTTTAATTAGTCATTGTGTCTTCTGAATTCAGCCATCACACTTAAGATGCCCCACAGGATTCAAATAATGTAGCAGGTGTCTTGGGCTTCAATTCAAATGATAAAAACGGAAGTCTCAAGAAGCTTTTATTGCAATCTAATTAAGGCATGGTACATCCTACCTTATTCTGAAACCTTTTTCGTGGCTCTGTGATGTCCAGATTGCCTACCTCCTTCACACAGAGGAAAAATGAAATCTATGCAATTATTTCTGTCATTAGAATGTTAATTACTCAGCATACTCAAGTAGAGAGCACTTTATTTTTATAAGATAAAATTTTATTATAAACACGTTTTACATTTCTAAATGGATGCTTATTTGTGCTCACACATCCCCCATAGTGAAGATAATAACGCTCTGCATTTTCTCATAAAGGTTGTCTTGTCATATTTATATATATATTGTTGTTAATTGCCTTAGAATCAGTTCTGACCCATAGTAACCCTGAACAGGGTTTCCGAGGCTGTAAATCTTTACGGGAACAGAAAGCCTTATCTTTCTCCTGTGGAACAGCTGGTAGTTTTGAACTGCTGACCTTGAGGTTAGCAGCCCAATTCGTAACCACTATGCTACCAGAGCTCCTTTATATATAATATATAATATGTATATTTTTAACTCCTAGCAAGATGGCATTATAGACTCTTCTTCTACAATAAAACAAGATCCTGAAAACTACAAATAATACATAATTTACAAAGATTTTTATACAGTGTCAATGATTTGGAACTGGTTCAATGGCACTTAACAACAACAGCCCTAGCAAACAGTTCAGTGTGTTGTTATAGGATAACCACTGACCTGCTTACCTAAGGTTTGGCGGTTCAAACCCACCAACTACTTTTTGGATGCCCTATACAGGATCGCTAATAACTTGGAACTGATTTAATAGCACTTAACAACAACAACCCTAACAAAAAAGGGTCAAGATAGTATGGAATTGCTGAATGATGAAAACTTGTAACATATTTGCTTGTAAACTGAAAGGTTAAATGCTTAACTCCACCCAAAGGCACCTCAGATGAAAGGTCCAATGATCTACTTCCAAAAATTGAGCTACCAAAATCCTACTGGAGCACAGTTCTACTCTGACAGAGATGGTGCTGCTATGAGTCAGAGTCCATTTGAGGACATATAGTCTATCTCAGATATACGTAAAATACAGTTAGCTAAATATTTGAATTGTGAGTATTAAGTAAACAGGAATTTCAAAATTGCCCTATAGACAACTCATAAAGCCTATAATGTTGGTATTGCTAAGGGCCGTCAAGTTGGTTCTGACTCATAATGACACTGCATAGTGTTTCTGAAGAGTGGCTGGTGAATTTGAAACACTTACCTTGTGGCTAGCAGTCCAGTGCATGTCCTAGAGTGCCCCACCAGGACTCCTAACCAGGGTTACTATAAGCTAGAACCAGATCAATGACATTTAACAGCAGCACCCTATTGATTGTCAATAATTAAGAGATCTTATATTGCCACATGTTGACCACAATATGGAAAAACAGGGACTTTTACTTTGTGGTGCTGTAGGATAAGCACTGGACTGCTAACCACAAGGTCAGCGGCTCAAACCCACAAGTTGCTCCTCAGAAACTCTATACAGGGTCACTGTGAGTTGGAACCAACTCAGTAGCAAACTAAAGTCTAAATTGATACAATTATTTTCTAAAACAAGTGTTATAAATTTGTAAAGCTTTGTTCACACTCTATAACGGAGCAATTTTACCACCGAATTTTGACCCTACAAAAATTCTTGTACATATGCTTTTAAAAGTTCAGAAGCACTATGCATAGTAGCATAGTTGTTTACTAGTTGAATGCTAACTGTAAGGTCAGCAGCTTGGATCTACCAGCAGCCCTGTGGGAAAAAGATGAGGTTTTCTGCTCCTGCATAGATTTACAGCCTTGGAAAGTTTTTAAAAAGAATGGCTATGCGTCAGAACACAGCATATCTAGAAATAAATCAAAATAGTAATTTACCAAGAGAGATAAAGAAATAGAGATACAGCCTCTTAAAAATATTTAGCCCTGTGAGTATAAATGAATTAAAAGTAAGCACAATCATGTGGTGAATCATAAGAGCATAAATTTGATTGAAAATGGAAATTTTTCTAAAGACTCTATCACTTAGTGGTTATGAATCAGGCTGCTAACATCAAGGTCAGCATTTTGAAACTAACAGCTTTTTCTCTGGAGATAGATGAGGCTTTCTGCTCCCACAAAGTTTTACAGCCTCAGAAGAAGTATAAAGGGTCGCTACGAATCGGAACCGACTACACGGCACACCGCCACCACCATATATGGTATGATATAATTTTAACAAAGCTGATAAACTCATTAATATGTATCTTATTTGGCAAAGCATTTGAAAAACAACTGTTTTTACAAGCGAAGGAATAATTAACCACATATCAAATGTGTTTCCCATCTCTTACATGGAGTTTGGGTGAAGTGTAAATACTTAGCACCCAGGAAGATTTTCATGTATTGACAGTATTCTGGATTTTATGTTGGATGACAGATACAGCCTGTTCATTTTATTGCTATGCTTCATAACTTGCATACATATCAATATACACATGTATCAATTATATCCATTACTGCTATATGTCAAATTGCCTAATAATGTAAAAATAAACTAATAACTAGAAATGGATTCTTTTGAGTTCACAAGAAAACTATATCTCCTTTTATGAACAAGTTAGGTGAAAGTAAGCATACACGAGAAAGTCTTCAAATCAAGAAAGAAAAACAAGCAATAGTAAGTAATGGGAAATAATCAAGTGACACATCCGATCTAAACTCACCACCAGGGCCTTAGATCTGTTGCTCAGAAGTTTCTCAATATCCCTTGCTGCAATTTCCACCAGCTGACGTGCATTATTGGGCTCAACCGTATACAAATCTTGGTATTTCTCATAAATCTGTGTGAAGGAAAAAGAAAACTAATAAGAATAATCATTGTATTTTGTTTCACAAGTTCCCAATAGAACGTATTTAAAACTACAACAACTGATTTACTACTGGACTGCAAAGTCAGCTTGAACCTCAGCCTCAAGGTTGGCAGTTCAAGCTCACCAGCTGCTTCTCGTAAACCCTATACAGGGTCACTGTGGGTTGGAACTGACTCAATGGCACTTAACAACAGTAACAACAACATATATGTTTTGTTGTTAAGTGCCATGGAGACAGTTCTGAGTCATAGAGACCCTGTATAGGAGGAGCTGGTGAATTTGAAGCACTGACCTTGCAGTTCAAGCCAATCTTTCAGTCCACATATATGTACAGTACTGTAAGATAAAGCAATGGACTGCATGATCAGTTTGAACCGCAAAGACGTCAGTTCAAACTCACCAGCGACTCCTTGTAAACCCTATACAGAAGAGATGGAGAATCTTTTTACTGACAAGAGCAATTTAGATAATTTGCAACCATACACAATTATCAAAATTAGCCTGGTATATTTGGTCGAACATTTAATTAATTCACCCCTAATGTGATGGCTGGAGTCCTGGTGTGGCACTGTGGGTTAATGTGCTGAACTTCAATGTTGGTTTGAACTGAAAGATCAGCAGTTCAAGATCACCAGCCGCTCCTAGGAAACCCTATACAGGGTCACTATGGTTGGAACTGACTCGACAGCACTTAACAACAACAATGTAATGGCTGTAACTGCAGTTGCCTTGGCAGGGCCAGAACAAATGATTTCACAGGCCATATATAGTCTATGGCCTGGACATTCCCTACTCCTTCTATAGAAAGTCACCATGAGTTGGAACCAACTAAAGGGTACTTAATAACAACAACAATATATGTCATAGGTATGAATATATATTTGAAATGAACTCCTGGTATGGTACTATAAGATCAGTACTGGACTTCAAGTAACAAGATTGGCAGTTCAAATACACCAGATGATCCTTAGTAACCTTATACAGGGTCGCTTCGAATTGGAACCAACTCATTGGAATGAACCAACAATGACAACAAAAATATTTGAAATATATTATGCACACATATTTCACATATATGTATTGTTCTCTCTCTCTCTAAGAACTTCAGCTGGCCCAAATAGTAAGTTACATTATCAGGTTGCAAAGCATGTTGTAACATGGTTTGTGTTTGCAAGTTTGTGGGTTGAATCTATACCCCCAAACTCAAAACCTGGTATTAAGTACTTCAGGTCTTTAAATAAACAGAAGACTATTCTAGATAATAGAACTGGAGATTGGGTGGAGGGGTGGGGGAGTGGGGGAGTGGGGTCAAACCAAGAGGGTGTAGGTGATAAGCAAAAATAGTAGAAAATCAAATGCAACAAAGAATATATTTAAGAAGACTTCCCACTGGTTTACTTCTCTACTACCACAAGTTTAAAAAAGCTTATGAATTAAGTGTGCATATGTGCACATGCATGCACACACATGTATATGTAAGAGAGGGAGAATGGTGTTGCTAAGGTTCCCTTGGGCGACATATGGAGCTTCAAAGACAGTTAAACAGACACAGAACTGGAAGGTCACTAAGGTCTTCCTTAAAGTGTTAATTAAAACTGTAACAGTGCATTTTTAAAAACTATTGAATCAAACTAAACTGACAATAAGTTAAGTAGCTAAGGAAAAACTCCACTACATTTGTGGCTCACCTCAGTGTCTCTGGAAGAAGTAATGCAAACTGAACCTGGTTTACACCTGTACACACCAGCAGGAGAGGAATAATTAAAAGGGGAAGGTAGGAGGGTGGCAAGGGGAAAAAACAACAACAGTGACAACAACAAGAAACCAGTTGCTATGTTTGTGGCTGAAGGGCTGAGTGGAAATGGAAATCCCTCATGTACCCAACAGATGGGGTGCGCATGCATGACTAAACCATCTTTGAAAGCCAGGACCTAACAGGTTTTTATCATCTTGTGAGAAGTGAATCCAGGCATATACAAAAATGAGTTCAACCCTGCTTTTATTCTGGCTGAACGCCAAATTCTGCTTTTACTATCCACAAGTTCTATTGTCTCTTCTCAGTTAAGTATACAGCTACTAGTGAACAATGGCTTCACACAGGCACACATACAAGCACATGCGCGCGCACACACACACACATATGCTAATACCGATTTATAGCAGAATGTACTCATTTTAAATAAACTTATGGTTTTATATTTTTATTTAACTGATTTTTGCTAAGTGTCATTGAGTCAGTTCTAACTCAAAGTGACCCTGTACAGGGTTGCTAAAGAGTGTCTGGTGAGTTTGAACCACCAACCTTGTTGTTTAAACTGATCTTGCAATCCAGTGCACTGTCCTGCAGTATGTTACCAGGGCTGGTTAAAATTAATAATTTTTAAAGATTTAAATCAAATGCTCACTCCTAAAATTAGTTAGCTTATTCAAATTATTATGATTTCCCCATAGTTATTTAACCTTTAACTTCGTGTGATTTTATTTCAGCTATGGATTCAAAACATATTTATTTTGTTATATGTTGTTGTTGTTATTGTTGATAGGTGCAGTTGAGTCAGTCCTGACCCATACCGGCCCTATTATAACAGAACTTAGCACTGCCTGGTCCTACAGTATCTTCATAATACTGCTTTTGAGCTCATTGTTGGAACCACTGTGTCAATCCATCTTATGAGTGTCTCTCTTTTTTCACTGGTCATTTACTTTACCAAGCATGATGTACTTCACAGGAAGTAGTTCTTTTTAATAACATTAATAGTTCTTTTTAATAACATTAATAATTAAATGGAATGCATAAAAATCTATATCCTGGGCATAGTTGTTGTTAAATGCTTTAGAGTTGGTTTCCCCTCATAGCGACCCTGTGTAGGATTTCCAAGGAGTAGCTGATGAGTTTGAACCACCAACCCTGTGGTTCAAACCAAGCTTGAGGTTGGGTGCTTATCCTACAGCACCACACCAGGGCTCCATCCTAGGCATTAGAACCTGAAATAGATTGGTATTGGCCATTTAAAACTGGACAATCATATGATTTATTATGCCAAGAATGACAAATTGAAGGAGAATGGTGTTCCATTAATCATCAAAGAGATCATTTAAAATCTATCTTGAAGTACAATACAATCCATGATATAATAATGTCCATACAAAGTTCTTCAATGTCTTCATCATTGGTTTTAGCGGTTAATGTGTAAATTTGATTAATAGTCATTAACTGGTCTCTCTTGAGTTGCATGGACATTATCCTATCGCACATAGCATTGTCCTTCTTCTACCAACTTCTTTAGAGTCAGGTGTGTGAATGTAGAATAAGCAGTGAACTGCTAATCACAAGGTCGGAGGCTCAAACCCTTGGAAACCCTATACAACTCGAATAGACTTAACAACAACAATAACCAACTTCTTCAGACTGAAATTAATCAAACATACAATCAGGATGCATTGATAATTACTGGTTATTGGCATGTGAAAACTGGAAACAAAGAGAAAGGATCAGTAGGTGGAAAATATGGCCTTGGTGATAAAAATGATGCTACAGATTGCATGATGGAATGCTTGCAAGGGCTGCTGTTAAGATGGTCCTGCATCATTCTCACAATCATTAAGCCTGAGTCCATTGCTGCTGCTAGTGTTAGAAATCCATCTCTCCGGAGCTCCACTTTCTCACTGAAGCTCCACTTTCTTTCTCACTGAAGCTCCACTGTACCAAGGAAAATGTCCTTTTCCAGTCACTCCTGATAATATGTCCAAAGTATAAGAGATTAAGTCTGTCAACCTGAATTCTAAGGACCATTCTGACTGTACTTCTTCCAACACTGATTTGTTTGTTTTTCTAGCAGTCTGTGGTACTTTTAAAAGTCTTCTCCAACACCATAAGTCAAATGTATCAATTATTTTACAGCCTTCCTTATTCATTGTCCAATTGACACATGTCTATTATTATTGTTGTTAAGTGACATCGGGTCGGTTCTGACTCATCCCTGTACAGGGTTTCTGAGGAGTGACTGGTTAATATGAACCTCCAATCTTGCAGTTCAAAGGTAACTTACATTCCAGCAACATAACATAGGGCACACCATTCTACCATAATCCTCAGCCTGAAGTCACTCAGCAAACCTAGCTGCTCCACACCGACCCTTAAGTTCCTGGAGACACCCATTCTGCAAGCTAGCTTCCTATGCAAAGAAATTGAGGTTTATTTGCTCTGTGGACTGGGAAGCCTACTGTGTGGCTCATGCTCTTGTTCTTGGTTCTTTGGTTGCTGCTCCATTGCCACTCATCTGGTGTCACAGATTTTGGGTCCAGGTCAAGCGGATTCAATATGCAGGGATCTCAGGGTCCAAAAATGTGCTTGACCACTGACTTTTCTTCTTTGATAGTAATGAGATCCCTATCTCTGCTTTGGAGATGGCTCGTGTTATTTATACACCTTAGAGTTCCAAGTTTTACAGTGACAGTCAACTGTGTTAACCAATCACAACTAAATTATATAATCCAACAGTAGTGAGGTTGGCCCAGGATTGGGCAGTGTTTCGTTTTGCTGTGCATAGGGTCACTATGAGTCAGTACTGACTTGATGGCACCTAACAACATCACACAACAACATCACAGCATTTTCTCTCACTGTCTCTTACTCAGACCCAGAGTGCAAAAACTTATTATGTTTTGTTTTGTTTTTACATAGACTATGTTACAAAGCTGTAATGTCTATGGGTAGGTGGTAAGATGGTGGCCTAGGCAGAAAGGCAGCAGGGATCCTCTACAACAAAGATACAGATAAATAAATGAAATAGATGCAGATGATAGTCCTGGATCTCTGAATTTCAGCTGAAGGGATAAAGAAGTAGATTTGATGCTTATTAGGAGAGAGAACTGACCATTAGCAGTCCAGTGCTTATCTTACAGCACCACACCTGGACTCCACACATTGGAATAACTGCTTATAAATAAATAAATAAAAATAAACTCTG